ATTGGTGGTTGACTATGGGACTGGAGGGGAGAGGCAAAATGACTCTCAGGTTTCACGCTGTGGTAATTTCGGGAAGCATGTCCCTCCACATGGCCTTATTCTTTCAGTAATTCATTACCAAATACGTTCTGAATGCTCACTATGTTCAGGACACTGTGTAGGTGCTGAGATTTTTTTTTTAAAATAGTGACACGTGGTTTCTGTTTTCAAAATGTTCAGTTTGCAACACCTATAATTTTGTGTGTTGAGTATTATAATGTAGGCATGAAAAAATACAAGAGGGTGACTGGGAAGAATTTACAGAGGAGATAGCATTCAATCAGGGTCTTCCCATGGTTAGAAATTCAACAAGGGATGAGAAAGCACCACTGCAGAAATGAATGAGTAAGTTGGTGGTTGGGGAAGACATGAATTCTGTTGTAAGTGGATTAGGTACAAGGTGATAATAGAACACCAGGGTGGAAGTGACTGGAAAGCACCTGGGAAGAGGGAACTGGGAGAGAACCTTATTTGTAATGAACCTGCCAAATGGTTAACTGACCATAGTTTGAACATTTCTTGTGATAGAGCTCTTCTTACCTCCCAATACAGCTTATTGTATTGCCCAACAATTCCAAAGCCATAGTTCGAACTTGGTCCTTAAGTGAGTTGGAAACTATTAGAGGTGGTCAAACAAGGGGTAGCTTGATTAAAGGACTGTTGATTAAAGGAAGACTCTGTGATTCCTGCACAGGATAAATCTGACTAGGGCACTGGCCAGGAGACCAGCTCTAATCATTAAATATATCCCTAACCCTTCATTGAGTCAGTCTTCCTCATTACTATTATCATTAGTGGGTCCAGTTTAACTTGACTGGAGCCACACAGAATAAATCTACTGTCTTCCATGTGACTAGTTCTACATTCTTTTAAGGTCTTTCTCTTTTAAAAAGAATCTTGTCCTTGATCTTTAGGTACCAGACTGCATTGGTAGATTTTCAACATTCTGATCCATTCATTCAGATATTGGTCAAAACTTACGTGTAAATATTTTATTGGGGAGTATGATCTGGGGAGCAGAACTGAGAGATGGGGAGCCATGCAGGGAAAGAGAGTGTCAATCAAAATGTATTTTCATGTTGGCTACTGCTTAGGGGGACAAGATGCTCCATCCTGTGGCAGGGACCCGGGAGCCATATGAGATGTGTCTCGGGGCTGTCTGTCCAAGGAAAGTACTTACCCATTGTCCCCCATCTCCTACTGATCAGAGGTTTGCCCAGTGGGGCACTGAGTCTCCTTTACTCTCAGGTTGCAAATGCCTGAGCAAGAGCATCCTCCCTAAACCCACCTTCTCCGTAGAGGAGGCTTGAAGAGGAAGCGAAAGACAGGAGGCTGGATCTGAGGCAAGTGCTGACAGGTGTGTTGTGGAAGTTGACCTGGTCCTGTGGCAGTGGCTGGAATCAGGTAGGACCAAGAGACTCAGAAATGGGGCCCAGAGATATCAGACGCATCTGCTATCCACCAGGCTCACAGCTGGGCTCTGGATGTGCTCTAGGCTCTCCACATTTCTTTCAAAGCTGTGCTCAGAATGAAATAAGTCCTCCAAATAGAGTCTGCATGGAGATGACTTTAAGGCAGAGAGGAAGGTTGGTGTGAGTACTGTGGAAAAATGGTATAAGATGAACATATCACGAATACTTGACATACATTCTCCTTAATTCTCTAAACATGTATTGCGACAAATACCCAGGATTTGGCAGACACTGTGCTGGGGGCTGGCGGGTGGGGAGCATCCTGATGGATGAGGTACAGTCTCGACATTTAGAAGGGCTCAGCCAAGTTGGAGAGGCTGAAAAGGTAGCCAAATAATTAGAATATGGTGGGGTGGGCTACAGTGGATGAAGAGATAGTTGAGGAAAGAGCCTAATTAACTTCCTGTCAGGTGGATGGGTGGGAGAAGATGTGAGGAGATTTTAGGGTGGTCTGCTTCGTCATCACATGCGCCGAGACAAAGAGGCAGAGCTCACGAGGGATTCACTGCATTCAGGCCGAGGCGTCTGCTGAACTGCTGGCAAAATGTAACAGTCTTAGGATTCCTGGTTTCAAGTTAACTGTGAAACCACTAGATGCTCCTCATATTGGAAGCTATATTAGAAGTCAATTCACTTCATTTTAAACAAACATTCCTAGCTTAAAAATTGCAGCCTTTCATTTATGCATGTTCAAGTATTTTGAGCCAGTTTCATCCCTTAGGAATTGTATCTTTCCCACGTGAATCACTGTTTCATATTTTTCTAGTGCACTAAAAGAGACCTTGACTGTACAAGGTTAAATTGAAGATGAAGTAGGGTGTTTTTTCCCCTCTTTTTCCCTTGGCAAGAACACCACAGAGCCTTTGTAAACAAAAGCCAGGATGCAGACAGTCTAGGAGTGGTTTCGGCTGAAAATAGTATACTTTTTTTTTTTTTTTAACATGGTGAATTGAAGAATAGCTCAGGAAAATAAGGAGCAGGTGGCTCTTGCAGCCTGGGGGGCAGAAGGCCTGGTACGTAGACAGAAAGCACTTGCGGCTTGTCACGTGTTCCCACACATCACTTCAGTCCTTGGACAGAGGGCAGCTCTGAGCCTCCTGTCTTCTTCCCCTCAGTCCTGCTCCCCCCACCCACCCCCCTGACAAACATATGGGAAGGATTTAGAGACAAGGGAAAAGCCCAGAATTCAAATATGGAGAGAAATTATGTGGCTAACAGCTGGAATTCATGAAGTTCCATATTAAGTGAAGGATTGATAGCAAGAAATTCAAAACACCCTTTCCCAAAAGGAAGACAAATTAATAGCTTGAGGACAAGGAAGACATGTCAAGATTCTTGGCTTCTTTTAAAATACAACAGTAATGCTTATGTTTGTTTTTATAAGGGAGAACTATGGTTATATTTGTCATAAATTAGGAATTGTTGACTTTAAGGATGAATATGGTGAAATGCATTAACTAAATGCCAAAAATGAATCTAAAATTGGACTGCATGTCCATTTTACTTTGGAGTCTACTTTATTGAGGTATGTTAATATTAAATGAATATTTATGAAGACATTCTACCTAAGTTATCTTATTTAGTCCTCTCCCTACACACCAAGAAATAAGTATTTTATAACCTCCCTCTGCTGAAGAGAAAATCAATGCTAAAGAGATGAATCTGCCCAACATCATGTGGTGGCAAAGAACTTAAACCCAGGGCTTGTGCTCCAAGCACCCATGGGTGTACCCACTGCCCTGGGAATTCTAAACCTACATGAGTTTCCAAAATAGCCCTGGAGCTCTTTAAATCTACTGATTTCTGGAATGGACTCTAGAATCTATATGCTTAAAAATCTCTGAAGTGATTCTGAGGATCAAGCTGTTTTAGGACCCGCTGTATTAAGATAAATGAAACATTTTCTCACCAATCAGTTTGAATTCTTCTTTACTCTGGGGATGCAAGTTAGTGGATATTTTGAAGGTCAGCAAAGTCACACCTGGGAAGCATTAAAGTCCACCCAACCGTGCAGCCTGCAACAATTTTGGGTGGGCTGGTTCAATGTGATTACTAGTGTCTGGAAGCAAGTGCGTGATGAGGGGAGGCTAGGTCATAGCAATATACAGTGATGTTTCCCAACCCTTTCCTGGGCCATGGCACATCTGTAAAAGTGCTGGGGCACAATAGGGGGCTGCCCATATCAAAGATGTAGAGCTACAGGTTGGGACCGCTTGGACAAAACCAAAATTGGAGGAGTCAGATAATTTACTATCAAAATACAACATACTTATTCTTTCAGTTTCTGGAAAGAGTTGAGAGGTACAATGAATATGGAAAACAGCCAGGCTCCTATCTGTTGAGTAGCCAGGTTAAGTCTTCCTAATGTTTGTGAACTCGGGGAGATGATGTGCCTGCTTTGATGTTTGGTGGGCCTGGGTTTGAATGCCTGCTGTATCGCTTACCGACTTTTGGTAACCACTTATCTTCTTTGAGCCTTACTTTCCCTATATGTGTACGGAGGGTAATGCTGCTTTCATCATAAAGTATTTAGAGGCTTGAGTTTAACACTGAATATAAAATGATTAATCCAGTGGCTGTAAATAGCAAGCACCATGTAAATTGCTGTGGTATTCCTGTCTCTTAAATCCAAGAGATTTTAATTTAATCAGTAAAGGATGTGAATTCTTTACTAATGTCTTAAGCAAAGCAGGTTTTAAGTGTAGAAAAATGCACCCTAATAAAAAGCAAGAAAAATACCATAACACATGAGGTCCTACCTTGGTCAACTTCTGCTTTCAGCTTCTAGATGCATGTCTCATGGGCAAGCACTGGAACATATGAAACTTTCTGCACAGGAGAGCAAGAAGAAAGTGCGCTGAAGAATTGAGAACCCAGGGAATAAATGTGCCCTCTGCACCTAGCAGGTTAGGACAAAGACATAAAAGTCACTTTGAGAATGACTTCAAATGGAGTCAACAAGACTGGGCTGTAACTTGATGAATTATACGAACATATCTAAAGACAGAACTCATTTGAAACTGCAGTCAGCAAGAATGGAAGAATAGAAAATGGAAAGTCAGAGAGACCAGTGTCCTCCTAGGGTCACCCAGGGCAGAAGGAGCCTTAGCTGAGGGACATTGAATATTCTTTTCCATTGGCAAGACCATCTATGTGGTGAGATGTCTGTCTCGGGCTGTCTTAGCTTCATGTCACAGCATTGTCAAAGTGGTGTAACTAATTTATTTTTGTATGGATTCTATATGTTTCATGAAATAGTATGATTACAATTTATCTCCCTGTATTGCTTGCTTATAGAGAAAAAGGACACACCCAACAGGGTGCTAATAACCTTCTGTTGCTTACATTTACCATTGTAAGTTCTTTTTCTGGTTTATACTTCAGTTTCTTGTAAGTCTGAGTCAGCTTCCCTGAGTCTGGTTACCTCTGGGCCTGACTCTTGGAGCACACAAGGTTCACAGCAGGACCTTGGGCAGTGACGAGTGGGCGAGACTCTGACAACACCTCCTGTTGGCAGCTCCGCTGGCTTCCCTGGAGACCCGTGACTTGCTGCCCACCTTCTGCTCACCATGGGGAAGAGAGCAATCTAGGAAGAGAAACCACAGATTGGTTTTCCAACAAATGGGAGGAGTTTTGCCCTGACTAAATCATGAACCAGCTTTATGTGATAATGGTTTTCAGAGAAGAAAAGCATTTTGTCCCCTTGTTGACCGGGAGTCTGGCTTTTTATGAGATATCTATTTAAAAGCTCCAGTAACTCAAACAATAACTTCACAACACCACAGGCTCTGCTAACATATTTCTTTCCCATTTAATAGTTTCCAGTTGTCCATCGCTTCGCTGTCTTGCCTTTTCTGGGCTTTGGTGTCATCGTGTGTCTCAAATCAATCCAAAGGGCACAAGCATCCAAACACCGGAAACCAGTCAGCTGAGGAGTCCTGGAGCTAGACTTCTCCAGGGGAAGATTTTCTTGTGTCACTCTGCAAAGTTAACTACCACTGCTTGCTAATTGGTCCCTGGATCTCCAGTCCTGCCTCCTCTCTAGTTCCCACACTGAGTGATCTTTCTCAAGTGCCTATATAAATATGTCACACTCAAGTTTGAAATCCTTCAGTGGCTGCCTGTTGCTCCCAGTTCAAGTCCCTACTCATCAAGAAGTCTTAATAAACCCTGTGGGTCTGTCCTTTGCTAATGCTCCCGTCTCTTTCTTCACCATTCATCTCTCTCATTCCAATGAGATCTACTGATCTACTTTATTAAAAATAAAGGCCTCTTGGCCTTTGCACATACACTTACTTCTCCTTTTTCTAGTTGCCTAGAAAGTTAAGTTTTTTTTTTGTTGAGACACTTCTTCTTTGGGAAGTATAACATTAATTCATTAAAAAAAATTTTTTTATCACCTTCAGTGTGCCAGACACTATTCTAGTCCATACTTGGAATACACTGTTGAACAAAACAGGGAAAGATCTACTTACCTTATTGGATCTAATGACCTGTTTACTTACCCTGTCTTCCCGAACTGCAAAATCCCTGAAGACAGGGCATGTGCATTATATACTACTGTATTCCCAGAGTTTAGAAGAATGCTAAATGCTCCCAGCATCAAGAACCATGGCTGGAACAAAGAAGATGGACAATATATACTTATTGAGAGGAGGAATTAAAGTGGATTTAGACAGAGTTTAGGTTTGAATCTAAGCCTTTCTGACTTCAATATCCATGATATTTGTATGACATATCTTGCTGGTTGTTTAGTTGAATATAGACATTGAGGATCAGAATTCTTAAGACCCTGGGAACCAAAATTCTGGTCAGTTAATCTAAAGTCATTATGCCTTTTTCTTGCCCAATCAGTTCCCTGCCAAAATTTGTTCATCAGCCACAAGCAGTTATAAGTCTCTCTTAATAGCATATAAGGAATTAGGTAGTGGGCAGGGGGACAGTACCAGCTGGTAAAACACTAAAACAAATAAATATATGTAAAATGGAAAATACCTTTAGGATCTAGAGGTGGTACAGAGAGAAGTGTAACTTACTTTATAGCAAGTGGCAGGGTCAGAGAAGCCTGTGGCAATGTAGGAAGGCCTGAATAAGATCCTGAGGTGATATGCACTCCTTTCTGTGTGCCCAAAATTGGGAGTCAGAGCATGTGAGGGATCTGTTTAGACTAAGTTACAACCCTGATTGCAGGCAGAATTAAGTAGAACCAAAATTCCTAGTTTCTAGTCATCCTTGAAACCACTTGAAACTCCTTATATAAAAAACTGTGTTGTAATGCATTCATTTAAAACAAATAGTCCTGGATTAACCATTACATAACCTTTCACCTACATGTCTATTTGAGTATTTTAGGTCATTGTTCTCTCTTAGGAATGATTTTTTCCATAAGTCCCTTTTTTTTTCTGTTGTTCTAGTATGTAAAAGATACCTTGATTTTAAATGGAAGGTGAAGTAGCGTAAACCAAATGCACTTTTGGCTTTGTGAACTCTGTGCAAGTGTTGAGGCACCTGCTTGAACTTAAGTGGAACCAGCGGAACCTGTTGCTCTGCAGCCTGAATTCATTCTCAGTGTCTTCAGTTCCATATTGGTTTATTACCAATGACTAATGCTTCACCCATGAGTCATTAAACTCATTCTGCACTTTCCCGAGTTCCCTAATCTTCTTGGAATTCATCCTTGTGTCCAATGGTCCAATGCTGCAGCTTGGTGTTCTGATGACTGAGAGAATAGAAATGGCAATAAAATATAAATGTAATATAACAATTCAAAATGCAATTCCCTTTAGAGAAGCCTTCTTAGTAAATCAAATTCTTCCCAAATCATTTCAAATCCTTTGAAATATTTGAAGCTTTCAGTTTCTTTTGTACCTTCATGAGAGGTCAACAAATATAGCGAGAGTAGCTGCTAGCTCTGTACATACTTTGCCACAGAATTCAGACTTTATAGGGTAACCCTACTTTTTAGTGCTCTTGATTAACTGCATTTAATAGAAGAAAGCAAAGTATGGCTAAGCTAATATAGATAGCAGCTGATGAATATGCATGTGTTTGATGTTCTAGAAGACTAGTACTTTAGAGGAAATGGTGAAGAGCCATTGATGGCTGAACTAAGGGTGAAAAGATACCCAACGTCTTGACTACTGTTCTATTCCCTGAAATCCATGTCATTTTAAGAGCAGCTATTTTCACAGAAAGAGTCAAGAAATGGCCTGAAAACTATAGAAAAATGTAGCAGACTAAGTGGAAGGGAGATGACTTGGAGTGAGGAAGGAAAAACATAGAAATAAGACATGGAAATACTGTATTCACAGGAATAGGGCAGGTGATGTGGGTGGGAGAGGGAAGAAGATAGATTTAGCTGCTAATGTTTGCTGGCATTTAACTTTCCCTATCCAATCATAAGATCTTAACTAGGATGTCCCTCTCAAGCTGAAGTAACTGATGAGTATTCTATAAACAGGCAGATGGAGCACAATGATAGAGAATCCAAACAGATGTGATATTCAGGAGTTCAGGTGGGAAATGTACAATCATTCTCTTCTGGAAGGATAATAGAGAGATGAGGCTATTCTGCATGGCTAGAGGTGAGGCTGAGTAGAATAGTGTATGGTGTCAGGTTAGGAGGATAGTAAGTCACATAAGAGAGTTCAAACTGGTCACAAGAAGAAGCTTTTGATCCTCATGTTGAGAACTTGGATGTGAAGCCAGAGAGATCACAGAACCAAATATATGAAAGCAAGGAGTCATGAGTCCAGATAGGAGGGTGGTCCTGGTATATACCTGACACAGAGAATGTGGTCCAGCTGACTTTTACACACTCTATTTAGATAGACATCTGGGGTCTCTAGCCACAATTAAAATATGGGAGGTATGGACAGACCATCCACAACATTTTTCAGGGTTCAGGGCACTATCCAGCATAATGCTACTCGCTAAGTTAAATTGTCAAGTGGCCAGAAGGTTTGTGCTCTGAGTGGATTTTCTCAGTTGGCCTGGAGAGGTCATGGATTGTGGTTGGCTTGACAGTATTTTCATCTTCTCCTTTTCTATCAGTGTGAAGGGCTGAAGAGTAATGGTGGCACCAGAGGCAACAGTGGAGGTGAAGGGACTAGGAGAAGAAGGACTGGGAAGAATATGGGTAGGGAAATTTTAACTACTTCTTTTCGGTGATTGAGATAAGATAAGAGATATCCTTTTAAAAGTACTGCACAATGGAAAACCAATTGAGTAACCAAATAGTCACCTATTATAGATTTCCTAAAAAAATGTGCCATTAAAAATTTAGCTTTCAGTATTTGTTGACATGTGAAACAGTATTTAAAGCTGCACTTTACTTCTTTCCAGAACTCTAAACTGCTCTTTATGTTCACTTAATAAAGCTCAGTCCTCAAATATTTTGTCCCCGCTTTTTATCTACAAAATAAAATAATAGAATTTTATTCATTATAACTCCATTTCCAAAAGGGAGCTGCGGAGTTGCTACTGAAGAGTCTTGGTTAAGAGAGGTTCTGTAACTTTGGTGTAATAAGTCTTAAAAATTAATTGGCAAGACCCATTTCAAAAGATGCCAGTGTTAATTCAAGAGAGTTCAACCACTACTTACTGACATCCATCACTGGGAGATATTAGCCTTAGATCTTAAAGGTAAAGTGGGCTAATGATGAAGAGGCATACAAATAGAGTCTACCTTTTGAGACTGGATGTGTCCGAATGATGACAGCCATGAGAACATGAGGTTATGGTTAAGATTTTGTGAGTTAAAAGATGTGTTTGTTGGAGGATTTCAAAAAGTCAGGTCATTTTTGTTGAGTCATGCTCAGTAATCTTGAGCTTCGAAGACTAAATTGCAAGGTGAGGCCAGTTGACATATGATGAAACTATTGATTTACTGTTTACCCCAAATTCTCTTTCTTTGTGATTTCTCACTAGCACACTGTACTAACTCCTGCTGTCAAATTCCAGTGTCACAAGTGCCCAAGCCAATCAATCTTGAGTATTGATCATTCAGTGACTGCTAATTGCAGCAGCTTAGAATTCGATTCATTAGTGAAAACAAAAAAAAAAGAGGTCTACTTGTTTTATCCTCACTATATGGGTGTTTTTGCAAGGAGATGCTTGCTTTTGCTATGTTAGCTATTAATTTTTTAAATGTAAAATAAGAAGGGAAAAACTCAGAAAAATGTTATGATTTGTTGGCATTAAAGCTAAAGTTGCCTTTAGGCTGCATTAACTTGTGTATCTTCTTTTACTTCATTCCTCTGTTTTGTTTTAATTTATCTGCTGCATCTGTGTAAGGCAGAAAGCCTAATTTTTAAACAAGATTACCTTTTTTTTTTTGATAGTACGCAACGCATCCTATTCTCTCCAGAGCACAGTTTTGTAGGAATAAAAGGGTATGTATATTTTAAAGTTCATCAACATTGTCTCAGGTTTTACAAATACAAAAGAAGTTCGCAAAAGGAAGGATGGAAAACAGATTTGTTGGTGCAAATTTTGATCACAGAATCTTTTCATTGCTGACTAATCTTTTACTAGTGTAAATATAAAAATAATTTCATGGGTAGAGAAGAGGAATTTTCCTTGGTCATTTACAGGATTAGCCTTAGTTGAATGTTCACTGAGATGAGAGGCGGCAGTTTAGTTGCAATGATTTGCTTTCTGGAGCTGAGGCAACTTTGTGGCCAGCCCATTCACAGGAACTGAGAATTGCATTATGCGAGAGGGAGATTTGCTCAGGAGAGGATAATCTTGGATGTGCAGAAGCTGGGGATTTTAAGAATGCAGCTTTGTGTGACCATGTTTGTGATATTCTGAAACAAAAGAGTTTTTTTGCCAGGACCCTAGGATGAAAATTTCAATATTAGGGTAAATAGTGGCTCTAGATTTAGAACATTATCTACTTTGAAGAAAACATCATTCACAATTTGGTTCACTAGTAATGTCTTTAGAGGTCAAACTTTACATCTCCTGCTGCTTTTGGGAGGTGATTTATACACACACGCATACTCCATGTCTCCCACAGTACCCAGACTATGGGCTATAATTTAAGACAGTAGTATCTAATGTCATGACTGCTAGCCACAGGTGGCTACTGGGCACATGAAATGTGGCTAGTCAAAATTGATCTGTGTTGTTAGTATTAAATACAGAGTACATACTGAGTTTCAAAGACAATGTTAAAAGAATGAACAATAACTTAATAATTTTCTATATTGATTAAATGTTGATTATTAATATTTTAAATATTTGAGTTAAATATATTATTAAAATTAATTTTACTTGTTTATTCTACTTTTTTCATGTGGCTGCTAGAAAATTTACCTACGTGGCTTGCAGTTCATTGCTATTGAACAATACTGGTTCAAGAACATACATTGTGTCCTGACTGGTGTGGCTCAGTGGGTAAGGCATCATCCTGCAAACTGAAAGGTTGCTGGTTGCATTTCTGGCCAGGGCACATGGCTGAGTTGCAGGCCAGGTGTCCGGAATGGGATGTGCGAGAGGCAACCAAGAGGCAACGGATCGGTGTTTCTCTCTTCTTTTTCCCTCCCTTGTCATGTCTCTAAAAATACATAAATAAAATCTTTAAAAAATGTATTATGACAAATGATCCCCTGCCATTCCTTTGTGAGCTGTGAAAAGTTACTGGAACTCTAGTCACCAGGTCCTGACATTCAGGGATCCTATCCCTGGTGTCTCCCCTGGAGCTCCCCAGTAGCTTCCAGTCCCCTCTGAGCTGTGACTACAGGCAGTATCTGTTCTCTTGCCTTCCTCACTCCATATTTGATCTGCCCCTCTTAGCTACAGCTTCTGCTTCTGTCCTTGCTTTCAGACTGATGATCCCCCCATCACTGCTTCAGGGGAGAGGAGAGCTTCCTTTCTGACTGTTGTAAACATCTTTGTCTATTTATTGCCTTAAGGAATCAAAAGTAGTTTGGCCATTTCTTACAGATGCCCTGGTGATAGAAGTTAGTCATTAAAGTTACTCTCGGAATTTATTATTTTGGTGAATACTGGTGTAAATGCCCTTGGGGCTAAGTTGGAGAATGATACGGACATCATCACACAATGGGCTGCACTCAGATTGGTTCTTCTTTGCTTTCCCCTGACTCACCAAGTGTGAGCTTCTTCCCCATTTCACATGTTGTCCAT